CACACACACACACACACACACACACACACACACACACACATACACGCCGACCGACCGACAAACAGAGAGACAGAGACAGCCATCCGTCGGCAACACCGTTCAGGCAAACATCTGCAAAATAATGTATGTGCTCAGTGTGTTTGTGTGTCTTCATGTTTAGTGAACGTTTGCATCCATGTTCCTTCTGCTGGCGTTGCTGTTGCCGTTTTGGTGTGTGTCTACATCAACAAATTCCAACGTGTGCTCACTTTGCAGACTTTGCGCTGGGTGAGAGAGAGAGAGAGAGAGAGAGAGAGAGAGAGGCGAAATGTAGCGAACCAACTTTCTCTTTCCTGCTATGATGCTGCAACAATCTCTGGATGAAGCTGTGTTGATGAAGCTGCCGCTGCTGGTGAACAGCTATTTTCGCCAGACGACCAGCTATTTTGCCATTCAGCCAAAACGCGAGGCCCATCAGAGCCTTCTTCTCCCAAGCAATAGACACTTGCTAATCGTTCCACTGGTTTCGGCGATTCCTCTCCAGGGTGTTTCTCTCCCTGCCGATCAGACAGACCGACTGACAAACAGACTGAAAGGAGACTGACTGATTCGATTGCCTGTACCATCACTTACATGCACTTACACTGCCTGTGTGTGTGACGTAAGATCATGCTACATTAGACATTTAAATATAGACCGTTCGCTAGCGCAAGCAGCAGCATTTCAAATTGACTCTGTTCAGTTGAGATGCCTCGCCGTTGGCCTTGGGTCTCTCCTTCTTCTGCAACTGTTATTTACACTGCGCAGTCAGCTAGCTAGTCCTCTTTGGAGTACTTCACTGCACTAAAAATAGCCTCCATTTTCTTGACGGACTTTCGACGGACTTTCGTTGATGACCTGGCACGCGCAGGCAAGGCACTCCATTGCATCGGGGACCATCTCATGTGGCCTGTCATCGTCTTCTCATTGCTGCTGCTGCTTCTGCTGCGATAAAGACCTCATCTCTGACTTTGCCAAATGGTCACCCGACTGGTCTGCTGCTCTTGCTGCTGTTAACTGTCGACTTGTCTTCAGTTTTCAGCTACCACCACGTGTGCAAGAGACCCGACTCTTGTTTACACTGCTGTGCAAAAGTTAGACAAAAACAGACTTTAGACAGAAATGGAAGGAAAATAGAATCTTGCAGATGCAGCAGCACTGCTCTGTCAGTGAAGAGATGCATGGGCGAGGGTAATTAATGGGCCTGAGACTGAAAAGCAGGCAAATGCAGAAGCTGATCCATGTGGCTTCTGTTGGTGGCAGCAAAGTAGCTGTCGCAAGTCGACGGAACGTAATTTATTGACGACTTCTTTTGCAGCACATCAAACGTCTGCCTAGTTCTGTCACTGCTACCACTGACCATGCACACCA